CTCTCTCCATAATTTGTAAGCTGCTTGGCTGAGTAGTTAGAGAATCAGGCTTGTGATCTCAAACTGCAGTCTTTATAGAGTTATGTACATATAGTTTGGTTCTTGTTTCAGCTCTTGACTTCGCTGTTTGAGGTAGTGGCATATGGGAGTGGCACTTCAACATCACACCAAGTGTTGTTTAAAAAATTGCTTCAAGATCTATTTGAGGTATGTGTGAGTTATATCGTAATTTCTGGACTTTATTGACTCGTGATAAGATTACATTCATCTGCCATAAAGATTTTATTCCCAAAACTGTTTAAAACCCATACAGTTCATGTATCTAACATGTAGCATTGGAGTCCTTTTTGATTTAATATACTTTTGCAACTGGAAATTGTTCATTGCTATACTAAATAAATGTAATTCTAAACTCAGCTTAACCCTATTCTGTCCCCACCCCAGCCCACCTCACCTGATTTGGCCCTACCCTGTCCTGCTTTGCTCTGCTCAGCTCTAGATACTATTCACAGTTGTATTTCATTGTCAGTACTATATCTTAGCCAACAGTACTCTTTCTGCACAGATTATGCAGGTACAATGTACATGAAAACCATACGTAAATTTAAGAAAAAAGTTACTACTGAACAATAATATCAAATGAGTATGTGATCTTAAATTTGAACTGCAGAGAAAGATGTGAAGACAACAGTGATAATCTCAACTGTGATGATCATTGATGTCTTTTCAATTAAAACTTTGTTATTTTCCCTGAATGTTCTCTAGTGTCATCTGGCTGACAAACTGGTGTTGTTGAAGTTTCTGGGACATCTTTGGTGTAAAAATCCCCTCAGGGGAGGAGATGGGGTGTCTGGTCTTCTCCAGGTTCAGTGTCTCCATATTGCAAATGCCTGCCTTGCATCCATGTCTGGAAAACCAGTGAAGGAAATGTCCAAGTCAACATGTACAGGTTGCTAATGCTTTTTACAGTATAACAATGAATAATCAACAATTCACTGAAGTGGAGGTGAACAGTGGTGGATATTTACTGAGCCGCGAAGCAGTGAGCTAAATATCCACCACTTTCACCAACACTGAGGTGAATAATTGTTTTAGTATACACCACACAAGCTGAATAACTAGCAGACCAAAGAGTAACTTTATTTGTGACAATATACCGACAAATGGTCAGACAAAAAAATTTGCGCGCCATGCAATGCTCGAAGGTGAATAGTACTTGGCTAATCACCTCCGAGCTAGCCAATCAGCNAAAAAATTGAAAAGCCTAAAGACGTAGGTCACTTTCTCAAAATTTTGATTTCAGTGCATGCCTGAGCGAAAATGTCGTAAAATGCGATGCTAGCGGAAAGAAAGGCATGCTGTCATGTTGCAAATGCGTTTTTTAGTAGATTGGAGCTAATTTTGCCCATATCCAGCCTGAAAATGTCCAAAATGTCCAAAAAAATGTGTTTTTAGCAAAAAGCTCCAGGAGTCAATGGGTTAATAACATTTCAGATTATTAATTTTAACTTAAATCTATTTTTCTCCTTTTGGGTCCTGATGTGTAACAGAGTTTTTGGTGAGTTTTTTGCACCTCTTGTGTCATATGGCAAGCCTCATTCCAAGCCATCTGCAACCGTGAAGATTGTCAAGAACACATTGAACTTCCTCTTACAGTATGTAGTATCCAGTGAAACACCATCCTTTGTCAGAAGAATCATACTGTCATCTCTGAGGAATGTTGTTACACAGGTATGGGTTGTGCATGATGATATGTTAGCAGTGGTAATTGAAAATAGTTCCTTCATAGGGATACATATAGGGAGTTGGGAGAGCTCAACAGGGCTACGAGTATACGATTTGCTAGATGTATAATAAAATAATTACAATCATAATAAATAACCTTTTCTTGTCTACAAATGTGGGAGGCATGGTGGCCTTATGGTTAGCACTCTCAACTCCAGATCGAGTGGTCCGGGTTCAAGCCCTGGCCGGGGACATTCAGAGGTTAAGCATGATGTTTTCGGCAAATGGCAAATGGCAAAAATGAAACTTTTGCCGTCTTTCTTCAGCTGTCTGTACAGTAGAGGTAAAATATTTGTATTTGTGGTGAACAGTAGACACTTTTCTATTTTTGTGTGATTTATTTAAGGATTACAAGAAAAGAATATAAAATCAGAGGTAATCTTTGCGGTTTGCCTTCTGCCGTAAACATCATGCTTAAACTCCCTATTGTGCCATGTTCTTGGGCAAGACACTTAACTCTCATGGTGCCTCTCTCCATCCAGGTGTATAAATGGGTACCGGCGAATCTAATGCTGGGGGGTAACCCTACG